TCGTAGGCTTGTTCAAGTCGTGTCTGATTTTGAAATTCAGCTAGTTCCTCCATTTGCATGTATTTGGTGGCTCTCTAGCGTAAGTCATCCAAATCAAGTGGTGGCTTCTTACATATACTATTCACAAAAGGCATGGGTCGTAGTGCCGTGGTGAGATGGTGCATGGCCACTACGGGATCTAGGTCTTGGATGGCTAGTGTCATCTTTCTGAATTGTTTCATTAAAGCCCTTAAGGGCTCTTTCTTTTCTTGGTAAAGGTTAACCAAAACTATGGAAGTGAGCCTGTGAGGTCAACTTGTAGCAAATTGGATGTTGAAGTGGGCTAATAGGGTTGTGAAGGAATCAATCGATCCTAGAGGAAGTTTGGTGAACCAGCTCAATGTGGGCCTTCTTAAGGACATATGGAATACTTTGCACAGGATAGTGTCTTCATCTGTATACAAGCTAACTTGGGTGATGAAGGTATCAAGGTGCTCATTTGGGTTAGTTGTTCCATCGTACTGATCCAAAGCCAAGTTTTTTCAATTATCAGGTAGGCGGGCGTTTGCTATTTCTTGGGGTGAAAGGTGTTCTTCCTTGACGGATTTGTTGATCAAGTGTGGCCATTGTAGTTGAGGTGGGTTGATTAGAGAGTTTGGGCTCCCTATACCACCCCGAAGACTCACCATGGTCGTGTGAAGCCCGAGTAGGGGGAATGCTCTGAAAGGGCTTCCATGAATGATTGTCACTTTTGAGTTCGGTATTTTTTTTCCTTAAGATGAACAACCCATGGGCGTCCTTTTCTCGTAGCCTCTAAAGTTCCATCATTTTCGTCGTTAGTTGTTCCATTGCTGAGGATGGGTCGACTGGATGAGGTCAATCCTCATGTGACTCTTCCATTTCTTCCCTTACTGCTTGGTTATACTTGGTTGTCTTAATTCTTGTGGCATCCCTAGGTTGGGGATGGTCATGGTCTCCTACTGGCTTCTCGTTGCTACCATCTTGACTTAAAGGGTCGAAAACTATTTAGGCTTCGGACCCATGGTAGGCACCAAAATGTTCCTGTGAGAAACACTTCCTTGTTGGACTCCTCCTTAATGCTCGATCTTCTCCTAACTTGAAGGTTATAGCTACCCAAATCCTCTTTCTAAATGGTGGGAAGAGTACTTACAAAGGCACTCCAACGCTCAAGTAAGTATTCGATTCAAAGCAATATATATTGTAGTATTAAATAATCATACCTCTCTTTTTCCTGTCTCATCAACTCTATATTTATAGTGACATATTTGGGCCTAATGGGCTTTATAGATTAAGATGTAGGTGATCAAAGGATTACGTCTTAATCTAGGGCAATGTGGGTAATTATCACTTAATCATGATTAGGTTCTAGTCCTAATAGTAAGGAGTTCATTCTTCTCCTTGGACGAATACATCTTCAGATGGCCGAGGGGTTTGGGATGCTTGGTTTACACGATGGCCGAAAGGGTATTCGGCTTATATGATTGTTGAAGGGGTATTCGGCTTATATGATGGTCAAAGGGGTGTTCAATTCACATAATGGTCGAATGGTTCTTTATGGCTAGTTAATCTTAATAAATACTTATGTAATGTCCGTCGAGGTGAGGGTACTCGGCCTAGACAATGGCCGAGTGGTTTGCTCATTTTCTATCCCAATACATTAGGTAATGTAGAAAGAAATATCATGCATATATTGTTTCACCCTCAACAATGATAACCGATTCCTAATCAAGTACATTATCTTGACAAAATATACAAAATAGACATGAGAGGATATAGCGATACCAACTAGGCTAAACAACATGCGGATTGGATTTCTATATGGAAAAACAGACGCAAAAATGTTCTTTTTGGCCAACCACTTTAAAGGCCTCTCCAACACAGTGTTGAGTATTTGCAATATTTTCGTGCAAATTCTAAATTATTTCTTTTTGGCCAATATTTTACATTTGGTGCATCCACTTCAAGTACACAACTACCAGCAACTATAGGATTTCAACAATATTATCCAACACTATCACATACCTTAATTGTTGGAGATAACAACCCACCTTATAATGTGGAACAATATCTCCAGTCTTATTTAATGAATCCACCAATTCATATGTAGCATGAACATTTCATGTAAACCTCACTATTAACAAGAGTTCCCACAGAGGACTTCGTGAAATATTTAATTTATAAATTTAAATTTTTAATTATAACTAAAATAATTTTTAAAATATTTACACAAAAAAATAAACTAAAAAATGAATTTGGGAGCTACCAACTTCTCAAAGCGGCTTCAAATGTTTTGATTAAAACAAAAGTGAAAAATTGTTTAATGAGAAATCGATTTCACACTGTAATGGTAAAACGGATCATTTAAGTAAATAAAATAGAATCTATGTTATTTATGAAAATATTTTTATAAAAAAAAGGATATTTTAAATAAAAAATAAAATAAAAATAAAAAATTCACATAGATAATGTAATAATAAAAAAATTCAAAAGAAATTTACTAATTACATTACTCATACATGTGAAGTCTGAACTATTGTAAATAAATGATCATTATTATATAAATCGAAACATATTCCTAATGTTTGAATCATTAAAATGTTAATATCTTTTTAAAAAAATTATTATAAAATAATTATTTAATTTAATATTATATTATGTAAATTAATTTTTTAATAATTCGGAACAAATATTTTACTTTCGAAAGATGCAGCATTTTTCTAAATAAATACTCTTTTGGCTGTCGACGACCGCTGACTCCAAACATTCAATCCCAAAGTCAGAATGTGATGTCCAGCTAAGGGGCGGAGGGAGGGGAACCGGGAGGGCTATGCTCTCCATTTTTTTAAAATGAGTCAAAATTATTTTTAAAATATTATTTTGATCTCCTAAATTTTAAATTAAAAATATTATTATTAATAAATGGAAAAATTATGTCAGTTTATATTTATGAAAAGAAAAGAATATCTATGAAATTAATATATAATATAATCAATAAAAGAGATACAAAATATATAAATATTAATGAACTGTTTATAACAGAGTATCTGGACATTTTGACCTGAATAAATAAAAATTAAAAAAAAATTCAAAAAAAAATTAAAAAAAACTATTTATCAAAATAAATTATTTTGGACAAGTAGGAGCGAGAAAAGTGTGAAAACGTCAAGCACTTTGACGTTTTTAGTACACTGTGCATGGGACGAAAATGTAAGCACTGAAAGCGTCAGACTGGGCGACGTTTTGGTACTGTTCATATACAAAAAACGTCAACAATGTTGACGTTTTCTGTATAAAGTAAAAAATATTAAAATTAAATAGAAAATTGACGGGTTGGGACTTCGAAACACAACCAGAACGGCCCGTTCTGAAACCAGAACGGGCCGTTCCAATTCACTCTTCACGTGTTGTATCTGGATCTGGAACGGCCCGTTCTAGATGAAAATGCAACACACAAAAATAAAACCAGAACGTCCCGTTCCAATATAATTTAATTCTTAAATTTTTTATTTAAATTTATTCATTATTTATTAATTTTATATATTATTTGAATTATATATAATTAATAACTTAAAATATATATTTTTTAAAATTTTCAAACTAAATTAAAATTATAAAAAAGTACTAACATTCTCTTATGAGTTTATCCAAATCAGAACTTGCTGGCCTTTTACAAGGACAAAGATGAGAACTAAAAACAAAATTTACCTTTGTTCTGCCTATTACCATGTCTAGTGTTTTGTCATAAAAATGCCACGTTATTAAAAAAATTCATCTCATTAATTGTCACGTTATCAAAAATATTATACTATCGTTTCATTTTTAACTTTTTTTCTTAAATTAAATATTAAAATCAAAGATAAATTTTATTTTTTATCCCTATAATATTTAATCTGCGATTTTGTTTCCCTGACTTATAATTTTATAAATTTACTCTAATTCTATAAACTTTACAATTTTTATCTCACTAATAAATGATATAATAATTGAAGTAAATATTAATTATCTAATCATCTACTTAATATATAAATTCATAATCAATGTTATAATTTTAATAGTTAATAGATAATATTTATTAATAAAATTAAAATTAAACTTTAAGCGTAAGGTTCAGCGGTAGGGGTTGATCCACCTTAAGTAAGGTCAAGGATTCGAATCCTGTCTTGTGTATGTAGCCGCGTTAAATATTCCTATTCATAAAAATGAAATTGAGAGACTAAAATTGAATAACTAAAAATTGAGAAACAAAAATCATAAATTGAATATCATAAAAAAATCAAAAGCACAATTTATGTTAAAAAAAAATTATAATTTTTTAATGCAGAAAAACCTGGAACGGCCCGTTCTGAAACCAGAACGGGCCGTTCTGATTCACTATTTTTGTGTTTCATTTGCATCTGGAACGGGCCGTTCCAGATCCAGATGAAACACACGAAAAGTGAATCGGAACGGCCCGTTCTTGTTTCAGAACGGGCCGTTTTAGTTGTGTTTCGAAACCCCAGCCCGTCAATTTTTCTATTTTATTTTTTAATGTTCACTTTATACAGGAAACGTCAACACTGTTGACGTTTTTTGTATATGAACAATACCAAAACGTCACCCAATCTGACGCTTTCAGTATTTACATTTTCGTCCCATGCACAGTGTACTAAAAACGTCAAATTGCTTGACGCTTTCACACTTTATTCGCTCCTACGTGTCCAAAATAATTTATTTTGGTAAATAATTTTTTTTTTAATTTATTTTTGAAATTTTTTTTTAATTTTTATTTATTCTGGTTCTTAAGCCGAGTATCTGTATCCAAGTGTTAAAAAAAAATATTGATTCCCCTCGATATACAGTTCTGGCTCCGAACCTGTCCAGCTAGCATGACTGATTTATCTGCTAAAATCGGTTTGGTGATAAGTTTGAATAATTTTGTATGAAGTGGCGTGTCAAAACGTCCTTCTCCTTATTAAAAAATACGAAAAACTAAAATATATGTTTCTAACAGAGCCCTTAACCTGGATTTCAGTAGTAAACATGTGCATGCTCGTTGAGTTGCACATACCCAACATTGCCAAGTTACCCATGATGATCTACGTTCGACTTCTTTTGCTTCTATGTTTCCTACTATATCATTTTGATGACATCACCTGCAACAACGACACAGAGAGAGATGTCCTACTTTCTTTCAAATTGCAAGTGAGTGATCCAGAAAATGCTCTCTCTAGCTGGTCTTCAGATTCCAATCACTGCACCTGGATCGGTGTCACTTGCTATGAAGATGGAAAGAGGGTCCAATCTCTCGATCTAGCAGGAAATGCCCTCTCTGGCAAACTACCACCTCAGCTTTCCAACCTCACATACCTCAACTCACTTGACCTTTCTCAAAACAACTTTTATGGCCAAATTCCCCAAGAGTTTGGTCACCTCCAACGTCTAGGAAATCTAGACTTGTCAATCAATAGTCTCACAGGTAAACTACCTCCATCACTTGGCAAGGAACAGTTTTGTGGGTGACATTCCAACTCAACTTGGTAATCTTTTGAATCTTTCCAGTCTGCAACTCTCAGAGAATAATTTATCTGGCCACTTTCCCACTTCTATCTTCAGCATCTCTTCCTTAGTCTTGTTATATGTGGAAAACAACAATCTATCAGGCAACTTAGCACACAATTTTGGCCATGACCTTCCAAATTTAAACTTTCTGTCTCTGGGAACCAATAGGTTTGAAGGGGTGATTCCTAATTCCATATCCAACGCCTCCAATCTTCAATACATTGACCTTGCTAACAATAAATTTCACGGCCCCTTACCTCTATTCAACAACATGATAAATCTTACCTACCTGGCACTTGATAATAACTTTCTCTCACCCACGACCTCGTTGACTTTTCAGTTCTTTGACTACTTAAGCAACTCCACCCAGTTGAACATGCTCAAGATCAATGACAACCATTTGGTTGGGGAGCTTCCAAATTCTTTTGCGAATCTGTCTAGCAATCTCAAACTATTCTACGTTGATAATAACTGATATCAGTGGGAAATAATTTTTATCAAATACACTCATATACACACAGCAGAAACTGACGTTTTTTGTATATGAACAATACCAAAACGTCACCCAATCTGACGCTTTCAGTATTTACATTTTCGTCCCATGCACAGTGTACTAAAAACGTCAAATTGCTTGACGCTTTCACACTTTATTCGCTCCTACGTGTCCAAAATAATTTATTTTGGTAAATAATTTTTTTTTTAATTTATTTTTGAAATTTTTTTTTAATTTTTATTTATTCTGGTTCTTAAGCCGAGTATCTGTATCCAAGTGTTAAAAAAAAATATTGATTCCCCTCGATATACAGTTCTGGCTCCGAACCTGTCCAGCTAGCATGACTGATTTATCTGCTAAAATCGGTTTGGTGATAAGTTTGAATAATTTTGTATGAAGTGGCGTGTCAAAACGTCCTTCTCCTTATTAAAAAATACGAAAAACTAAAATATATGTTTCTAACAGAGCCCTTAACCTGGATTTCAGTAGTAAACATGTGCATGCTCGTTGAGTTGCACATACCCAACATTGCCAAGTTACCCATGATGATCTACGTTCGACTTCTTTTGCTTCTATGTTTCCTACTATATCATTTTGATGACATCACCTGCAACAACGACACAGAGAGAGATGTCCTACTTTCTTTCAAATTGCAAGTGAGTGATCCAGAAAATGCTCTCTCTAGCTGGTCTTCAGATTCCAATCACTGCACCTGGATCGGTGTCACTTGCTATGAAGATGGAAAGAGGGTCCAATCTCTCGATCTAGCAGGAAATGCCCTCTCTGGCAAACTACCACCTCAGCTTTCCAACCTCACATACCTCAACTCACTTGACCTTTCTCAAAACAACTTTTATGGCCAAATTCCCCAAGAGTTTGGTCACCTCCAACGTCTAGGAAATCTAGACTTGTCAATCAATAGTCTCACAGGTAAACTACCTCCATCACTTGGCAAGGAACAGTTTTGTGGGTGACATTCCAACTCAACTTGGTAATCTTTTGAATCTTTCCAGTCTGCAACTCTCAGAGAATAATTTATCTGGCCACTTTCCCACTTCTATCTTCAGCATCTCTTCCTTAGTCTTGTTATATGTGGAAAACAACAATCTATCAGGCAACTTAGCACACAATTTTGGCCATGACCTTCCAAATTTAAACTTTCTGTCTCTGGGAACCAATAGGTTTGAAGGGGTGATTCCTAATTCCATATCCAACGCCTCCAATCTTCAATACATTGACCTTGCTAACAATAAATTTCACGGCCCCTTACCTCTATTCAACAACATGATAAATCTTACCTACCTGGCACTTGATAATAACTTTCTCTCACCCACGACCTCGTTGACTTTTCAGTTCTTTGACTACTTAAGCAACTCCACCCAGTTGAACATGCTCAAGATCAATGACAACCATTTGGTTGGGGAGCTTCCAAATTCTTTTGCGAATCTGTCTAGCAATCTCAAACTATTCTACGTTGATAATAACTGATATCAGTGGGAAATAATTTTTATCAAATACACTCATATACACACAGCAGAAACAAGAGAAACGGAAGAGGAAATTTTTCACTCAACTTACATACTCTAACAACGTACAACATATGGCCTTTTATAGGCAAATGTTACAACACACAAAATAATAAAATATTATATTTAAGAAACTTAACGTATGCAAATTTGAGATGATGCAGCCTTCGTGGAATTCAATTTGAACCATGCAGCAATTATAGAATTCCAAATTTCACTTTGAAACGGTGCAGCCAATTTTGACTTTCAAGTAACGTACTATTCATCAATTTAAGAGATTGTCGGTAGCCTACAATTTTGAATTCCAAGTTACTGTAGCTTACTGTAGCTTGATTTAGTTTTCTGACATTGCCTCCCTTAAATCAAGCTTGTATCATTCCAAGCATTCTTTTTAACTTGCAGAATAACTCAACTTTTAACGGCTTCGTGAAAATATCTGCAACTTGTTCTTCAGTTGAACAATATTCAATTGTTACTTCTTTCTCAGCTACCAGTTCTCGGATTTTATGAAACCGAATATCTATGTGCTTGGATCTTCCATGAAATACTGGATTTTTGCATAATGCAATTGCTGACTTGTTATCACAAAATATCATTGTGGGAGTATTTTGCTTTTGATACATTACTTCAAGCATTCTTCTCAGCCACACAGCTTGGGTTGCACAACTTGCTGCTGCTATATATTCTGCTTCGGCAGTTGAGAGTGCCACCACTTGTTGCTTCTTTGATGACCATGATATTGTACCACTTCCAAGATTGAATGCATATCCTGACGTGCTCTTTCTTGTCTCTATATCTCCTGCCCAATCACTATCCGTATATCCAACAAGATTCACATCAATGTTTTTATCATAGAAAATTCCTTCTGTCAGAGTACCTTTGATGTATCTGAGAATTCTTTTAGCTGCCTGCCAATGAGAATCTCGAGGCTTTTCCATGAATCTACTGAGTAGTCCAACTCCATAGACAATATCTGGCCTGGTTGCAGTTAAATATCTAAGGCTTCCAATCAAACTTTTATAGAGAGTTGGATTGACTTTCTTGCCTCCAATGTCACTGGTCAGCTTCAACTTTTCTTCAACAGGTGTTGAGATTGGCTTTGAATTCTCCATCTTGAACTTCTTTAAAATATCACCTGCGAATTTCTTTTGAGAAATGAAAATTCCATCATCTCGCTGATCAACCTCGATGCCTAAAAAATAGGACATTAGGCCCAAATCCGTCATTTCAAAACATTTAGCCATAGCCTCCCTGAATTTTGCAAACATCTTTGGATTATTTCCAGTAAAAATTAGATCATCAACATAGAGGCACACAATAAGGATATTGTCAAGATCAACAGATTTGATATACAAAGTGTGTTCAAACGGGCATTTCTGAAAACCATTATTCACAAAGTAAGAATCAATCTTCTTATACCACGCCCTGGGTGCCTGTTTCAGACCATACAATGCCTTCTTCAATCTATAGACTTTATCTTCTTTTCCTTTAACTTCATATCCTGCAGGCTGCTCAACATATACTTCTTCTTCCAAAGTGCCATTCAGAAAAGCAGATTTAACATCCATTTGATGAATTTTCCAATTATTTTGAGCTGATAGAGAGATAAGCATACGAATTGTATCTAATCTCGCTACAGGAGCAAATACCTCAAAATAATCAATACCTGGCTTTTGTTTGTACCCTTTTACTACCAACCTTGCTTTAAGGCGATCAATTTCTCCACTGGACTTGTACTTAGTTTTGTACACCCACTTTACTCCAATTGGCTTTTTGTCTGCTGGTAAGTCTGTCAGCTCCCATGTTTGATTCTTCTCAATGGCATGAATTTCTTCATCCATTGCTTTTCTCCAATATTGATTATTTGAAGCTTCTTCAAAAGTTACAGGCTCACAATCTGCAAATAAGGCAAAATTGATAATTTCTTCATCAGATGGGTCATTATCATTACCCACAACATAATCCTCCAATCTGGCTGGTAATCTCCTTTGCCTTTGTGGTCTGCTTGATGTTTCTGGTTCATCAGGTGTTGGATTTACATGTCCATTCTCCTCTTCATAGTTTTCTGGATTTATTACAGGCTCCTTTTGTGCTTTGAAAGACCAATCCCACATTCCTTCTTCATCAAAGGTCACATCTCTGCTGATGATAACCTTCTTTGTCACTGGATTGTAAAGCTTATACGCCTTTGAGTTGGTGCTGTAACCAATAAAGATGCACTTCTCTCCTTTGTCATCTAGCTTCTTTCTGAGTTGATCTGGTACATGAGCATATGCTATACACCCAAAAATTTTGAGATGCCGGATTGAGGGCTTCCTTCCACTCCAAGCTTCTTCTGGTGTTTTATCACAAACACTCTTTGTTGGACACCTGTTCAAAATATACACAGCAGTAGAAACTGCTTCTGCCCAGAATTCTCTAGGCATTTGTTTTGCCTTTAGCATGCATCTCACCATATCCATGATTGTTCTGTTCTTCCTTTCTGCTACTCCATTTTGTTGAGGAGTGTATCTAGTTGTCATTTGATGCTGAATTCCATGGTGGTCAAAGAAATTTGCACAGGCAAGATATTCTTGGCCTCTATCTGTCCTTAATGCTTTAATCTTACAACCACTTTGTTTCTCCACAAATGCCTTAAATGACTTAAAGGCATCACAAGCTTCTGATTTCTGTTTCAAAAAATACACCCAAGCTTTTCTGCTAAAGTCATCAATAAAAGTAATGAAATACCTGCTACCGCCATGTGTTGGTATTTCAACCATGCATAAATCTGAATGAACTATCTCTAATAGCTTCTTTGCCCTCCAAGATACTCCGGTTGGGAATGATTCTCTATGCTTCTTTCCAATCTCACACGTCTCACAAACTCCATTAGGAATATTCACAATAGGCAAGCCAGAAACATATTCTTTTTTTGACAAATAATTTAATCCAGAGAAGTGAAAGTGTCCAAAGCGCATATGCCACAACCAATCATCATTGGGAATAATAGAACTCAAACAAGAAAACTTTTCATGACAAATCTTCAAAGGAAATAAGCGATTCGGGGTCATTTTTACTTTAGCTATAAATCTTCCACTTTTGTCTATCAACGTGCAGTATCCATGATGAATCTGCATGTTGTAACCTTTCTCTGATAGTTGTCCCATACTCAACAGGTTATGATGAAGACCAGGAGCATAGAAAACATCAGAGATGAAATTTTGAGAACCATCCTTCAATTTAATTGCAACTCGACCTTTTCCCAAAATCGGAATGTTAGAATTATTTCCGAATTTCACAGTAGATTTTACCGTTTCATCTAGTGAGAAAAATAACTCCTTTTTCCCACACATGTGGTTGCTGCAGCCAGTATCTAGGTACCAAATATCTCCATCGCCTGAAAAATTATTTGCTACTAGAAGTAAGGTTTGTGGACTATCAGAACTCTCACCAGTATGCTTATATTGATTTTCTGCTATATTTGCTTGTTGTTTGAATCTACAATCTGCAGCTCTGTGCCCGAATTTTCCACAGTGGTAGCAATTGAAATTTGTCCTCTCCTGGTTAGTGAAGCTGCCTCTTCCTCTTCCACGGTTGGAAGATCTGAAATTGTGTCCACCTCTTCCTTGATTAAGTGGCCTGAAATTGTTGTCTCTCCATTGTTGATTAAAATCGTTCTGATTCACTATTTTTGTGTTTCATTTGCATCTGGAACGGGCCGTTCCAGATCCAGATGAAACACACGAAAAGTGAATCGGAACGGCCCGTTCTTGTTTCAGAACGGGCCGTTTTAGTTGTGTTTCGAAACCCCAGCCCGTCAATTTTTCTATTTTATTTTTTAATGTTCACTTTATACAGGAAACGTCAACACTGTTGACGTTTTTTGTATATGAACAATACCAAAACGTCACCCAATCTGACGCTTTCAGTATTTACATTTTCGTCCCATGCACAGTGTACTAAAAACGTCAAATTGCTTGACGCTTTCACACTTTATTCGCTCCTACGTGTCCAAAATAATTTATTTTGGTAAATAATTTTTTACTGGCTCACTGGAAACTTTCCACAAGAAATTAAGAAATTTGAAAATCTCCTGTCCTTGTCCTTTGCAAATAATTTTTTCACTGGAGAGTTACCATCAGAAATAGGAGCACTACATATGCTACAGAATTTTGCGACAGACGGTAATAGATTTTCTGGGGAAATTCCAGACATTTTTGGTAATTTAACAAATTTGTATACCCTTGCAATGGGAAATAACCAGTTCTCGGGCAGAATTCACACAAGTATCGGACAATGCAATAGGCTATTTTCTCTTGACCTGGGAATGAATAGAATTGGTGGGACCATACCAAAGGAGATTTTTCAGCTTTCATATTTAACATACTTGAATTTAACAGGAAACTCCCTGCATGGTTCTCTGCCTCGCGAGGTTGGCACCATGACACAGCTTCAGACCGTGGATATTTCTAGCAACCAGTTGTCAGGGAAAATTCCTAAGGAAATAGAGGGGTGTTCTAGCTTGAAGACACTTGTGATGGCAAGAAACAAATTCAATGGCTCAATCCCAACTAATCTTGGGAATTTAGAATTCCTTGAGACTTTGGATTTATCATCAAACAATCTCACTGGCCCTATTCCTCAAAGTTTACAAAAGCTCAGGTATATAGAGACATTAAATTTGTCTTTCAACCATTTAGAATGCGAGGTTCCTATGAAAGGTGTTTTTCTGAACCTTACCAAGTTTGATTTTCGAGGTAACAACCAACTGTGTAGCCTTAACAGGGAAATTGTGCATAATTTCCAGAAAAAGAAAAGAAAGATTTTACTCCCTATCATCCTTGCAGTTGTTGGTGCCACTGCTTTGTTCATTTCAATGCTCTTGCTATTTTGCACATTGATGTCCCGAAAGAAGAAGAGAAAGGAGGCAAAAACCGGGGTGTCATCTGCCCCTTCCAGAGGATTGCCTCAAAATATATCTTATGGAGATATTCGGATTGCTACAAACAATTTTGCAGCTGAAAACTTGATTGGAAAAGGAAGCTTTGGCTGTGTGTATAAGGGTTTTTTCAGCTTTAGCACAGGTGAAACCGCCACCCTTGCTGTCAAAGTCCTGGACCTGCAACAAAGCAAAGCTTCTAAGAGTTTTAATGTTGAATGTGAAGCTTTGAAAAGTGTTAGACATCGGAACCTAGTGAAGGTTATCACTTCTTGCTCCAGCCTTGATTATAAGGGAGAAGAATTCAAGGCCATTGTTATGCAATTCATGGCCAATGGTAACTTGGATGCGAGTCTATACCCGAAAGATGTTGAGTCAGGATCCTCTCTAACCTTGTTGCAAAGACTGAACATTGCCATTGATGTTGCTTCTGCTTTGGACTACTTGCACCATGATTGTGATCCACCTATAGTGCATTGTGATCTGAAACCTGCCAATGTGCTTCTAGATGAAAATATGGTTGCACGTGTTGCAGATTTTGGTTTGGCTAGGTTTCTATCTCAAAGTAAATCAGAGATGCAGAGTAGCACTCTAGGAATCAAAGGATCAATCGGTTATATTGCCCCAGGTACACATTAATGCTTTGCTTCCTACTAATACTAATTGAGTTTTCCTTTTCTTTGTAGTTTCCTTTTACTTGATATTTGTGCACAACTGGTATATTATATACACACACTTATACGGTTATACGTGGATCTCTAATATTGGGGTAATATGTTTCAGAATATGGAGTAGGAGGCAAGGCTTCAACTCATGGTGATGTGTACAGTTTTGGGATCCTACTGCTAGAGATGTTCACAGGCAAAAGACCAACTGATGAAATGTTCAAAGAAGGATTAAGCCTAAACAAATTTGTCTCAACCATGGAAGAGAATCAAGTATTGAGGGTTGTTGATCGAAGACTTATTGACGATTATGAATATTCAACACAAAGCTCAAGCACTGGTGACCGTAGCAGTAGCATTGGTGACAACACACATAGAACATGCAAAGCAGAGGAATGCGTAGCTGCAGTGATAAGAGTTGGGTTGTGTTGCTCAACTCATCGACCAAAAGATCGATGGAGGATGAGAGATGCCACAACAAAATTGCAAGCAATTAGGCAATCTATGTTGGCCTTGTGAAGTAGGTCTCAAGCCCATATGAAATCTATTATACAAAACTGAAGGTTACTGTAACTAATATATATTAGATTGCAATACTCTTTCCTTTCGGTGAATCGCTAATACTCTTCACGATGTCTTGCCATGCTTATCTGTTGACATGCATGTTGATGCGAGGGGGACTCTCTTTGTGAGAGAGTAGTTTATTTTCAGCTTTCTTTTTTTCTTATTTTAGCTCTTAGTAACAAAAAATAAATTGTTGAATTAGGATAGATGAAATTGGATTCGATTCTTATTACTGTGTTGTAATATTTTCTCCTGATTAGATAAAAAATATATAAATTATACTAATTGCTTATTTAAATATTATATCCTCCTTGATAAATTCATTAAATCATACATGTTGTCCATGGATAAAAAGAATCATACATTTAATTTTTGTATTTTAAGTTTTTAACTTAAGGAGCTTCTTAGGACATTAAGCGTGTGTTTAGATTTCATTTTGGAAAGCAATTTTTTTTTTCTCTCTCTAGTCCAACAATAATTTTACACTGAAATTATTATTTGTTACTTTTACTCAAACGTGAAAATCCACGTTTGAATACAAACACGCACTAAATTCGTCGTAAAATCACGTTAAACAAACATTCGAACGCCGAGGCAGAACTTTAATTCATAAATTCAATTCTGTATCAGTCTACTAAACCGAACACACATCACACTCAATCTACGCCTTCTGCAGTACAGTATTTTAAGTGAATGTTTGGCTTTAATTTTAAAACGCAATTACCCAGCCGCTCTATTGCTTATGCTTAAATTTAGAAGTTGACGTAAAGAGTCATGAAACGCTAAATAAACACGGGCAAACACGCTGTAATTTCACTCGATTTCTTTTTTGTATCAAAATCTCACCCAGATCTCTGTTCTGTGGGCTTTGGCCTCAACATTTATTGCCTAAAATTAAACTGTTGACAAATCAAATGACGTACAATTTTGTTAGTGCATACATGTGGAAGACGAAAATAAAAAACGAGTAGAAAAACTTGGAAGTGGTTGATATTTTTTGGGGAGAGAGAAGAATGAAGAGATACGTAGTTGACATAGTCAAAGTTAGATCTATGCGTTTTCCGACAACATGGGCCAGGACCCCACAACCACAACAAACAACCCCATGGCATTCATTCAGTACACTGGGTGGTAGAGATAAGTTACATCAAGACGTTTCCATGAAGGTGGAATTTAAAGCTGCAAAGAGTCTTCATCACATAAAAGAAACAGAAACCAGGTTGTTCACCACAGGTTTTTTAGTATATAACAAACCGTCCTCAACAATAGGCTATACGGCCTATAACTATCCCAATGGATAGCACAAGCTAAATATTCAAGATTACACAATAATATAACCCCATTTAAAATGAACCATAGTACTAGAAAATGTTGGTTTAATTTACACTTGATTGAAACCTGAGCAAGGCCATCTCAGAATTGGCCCTTGATGATGCAACCCTTGGGCTGCTATTGCTACTACTATCAGACAATGAAGCAAGCGTTTTCTGCAACACCCCAGATGGAGATGACACCATTGTCCCCAGAGGACTATTGGATTCAACATGTGTAGTGGCTTGTGAGGATGTGGTCGAGGCTGCTTCATTGGTGGCTGTGACCGTGCTTGATCTTAGAACTTCAGCTAGAGGACCACCAGGTGTTGAAGCCACCCAAGGTGCTGGGTTAAGCCAATTTGAGAGAGAGCTTTTAGTATCAGTGTGTTTGTTGCCCAAACCCATTTCAATAGTACCTATATCTTCATGCACAGCACCACCCCCCATGGATAGATCAAGAGAAGAAAGGGATAGTTTACCAATTGATGCAGCAGAGTTCTTGTTGATGTTGGCATTGCCTTCACCTGTTTCTGAGTTGGACCAAGCATCAATGAAACCCCTTGGCTTCTCCTGTTGGAGATTTTCCATGGGAACAACAAGAGGGTTCAGGAACAAAGGATGGCGTCTGTTGTGTTGATCCATTCCAGAGCTATATAACGCAAATGAGTTCAGATACTGAGGCTCGGTGGTGTTACAGGAACTCTCACTTGTCATTCCAACTTTATTATGTATCAGAGACTGCCATTCTGAGTCAGAAGCACCCAGGGAAATCGGATCTCCATTCAGCATCCAGTCCAAACCCCTTCACATTCACATTCAATTCACCAAATCACTAATAGATTATTGAAGTAATCACAACCCAACATAACAACACCCCTACAAAAAAAGGCATTTCCTCTGCGACTCTAATGAAGAATAAATAAGTAGACACAAAATCAGTAGTTCAAATTTTCAACTGAATCAAAATAAAAAACGAATTAATAATCAAAACAAAATGTGTGCAAGGCCATGGAGAATGAGTTTCATATAGGAAGTTTAAGTTTTGTAACTTTTGCTGTGTTATTTTTGTTTTTGGGTAACCAAACAAAGATCCAAGGGAAGAAGAAAAATCAGAACAAGACGTAGTAAATTCAAACTTGAGAACTCACCTGGGTTCCTTATTATTTGAAGAAAGAGGAGCCACGGAGTCAAAATTCGCAGATTTGACACCAAAGTTAGCAAGAGAGAGGGAAGATTCAAGGTAGGGCTGAGTGGTAGTAGAAGAAGCAAGAAAATGGGGCGAAGATCCATCTTTTCTGGATGTGGGGTTAGAAACAGCCACGGCAACATCAGGTGTAGGGGAAGGGATAGACTCATGGCGAGCTCTTTTGATTTGTTCGTTATTATTGTTGTTGTTGATGCTAGTGGGAGTGGGGGTGTTGGTGTGAACTTCCACAGGCTTTCTTGAACGGGGTCGGCCTCTATGCATATGGCGCTCGCAGTATTTGTGGTTAGGAGCCACATCTATTATTGTTGTTGTTGATGCTAGTGGGAGTGGGGGTGTTGGTGTGAACTTCCACAGGCTTTCTTGAACGGGGTCGGCCTCTATGCATATGGCGCTCGCAGTATTTGTGGTTAGGAGCCACATCTCTTGAGCATCTCCATTTTTTACCATCTGTTCTTCTGCACCTACCTGGCTCCGGGTCACTGCTACTTGCCAGCCTCAGATTGAAAGCACCGTCCACTGCCAACATAAAAAAACGGGATGCAAAGTTCAAGAAACAGTGAAAGCAAGCCCCATGAAAAGGGGCACAGTGATTTGAAGTTTGAACAACAAAAGGTGAAGTCTTTGAGACAAATACAACAAGTGGTCGAGAATGAGGGCACAAAGACACAAACTTTTGATGTGAATGGACTTAAAAGGCAGAAAAGGCACATGAACATGTTGTGTTGTGTTTGTGCATGAAGGTGAGTAGTAGTTAGCAAAAGGGTCATACTGCAGGGAGAGCGAGAAGTGGAAGTGGGGATGAGATTGAGAAGACCAGGAGGAACAGGAACAGAAGCCATCATGTACTTGTAAATCATGGCTTGTCTTTCAAGCTCCCTCCATTGAGCAGTTGTGAAAGGAAACCCCAAAGAAGCCGCCATACCACCTGCTGTAGCAACACACAAACCAGTATACAACTATGTTCAGAGACTTACACAGAACACACACACACACTTTCTCTCTCTCTCTCTCTTTTGACCCATCTTTACTTTCTCCCACTTTTAGCAAAAAGATGCAAACTTTGCGGTGTATTAGTGGGAAAGACGCAAGCAAAGCAGAATTTAACAACAAACCTGAGGGTTTGAAGGTGGTGGTGGGAGAAGTATAAGGAGAAATGTCAAAAGGCTGCAAAGGTGTTGCAGGTGCAGGAGCAGGAGGAGCAAGAGCACTAACAAGGTTTATATGATTAGTAAAAGACATGTAAGCCGTGGGACCATCGGCATCAGCATCAGCATCAGCAGCAGCACAGGGAACATTATCAAAGGGTGATGAAGACAATGGACGGTGGTGATGATTATGATGCGCCATCATCGTCATCTTATTATGGAATGCTTCAGGGGTGTGCACCTTCACATCCAACCCCCTTTTTCCCGTAGCTTGAGGCATGATTAAATTAAACCAGCGAACCCAGTTTGCTGAAAATGGGAAAAGCAGTTTTCCATGAACTAGAAGAGAATGAGGAAAGTGGTGTTTATGTGTATCTATCTAACAGTAATGATAATAAAGAGGGTATTCATGTCATCCCTCTAGTGCCAGGTGTTGTAATGGAGAAAGAGTGAGGTTGATGTGGGATTTATGATTGAGTTATGGGTTGCCGCCATTCTCGCCCTTTACTTTGCTTCCATGCTTCCAACATTCGCACCACACGCTAGCGGACAAATTAGTAAAAAAGTGACCCCTTTTTGTTTCTTTCTTTTCACCCTCTCTCTTCACTTTTTATCTATTATCTATCATTATTGTCGTATCTATCCCTTTCTGCATGTATGGCTAAACCCCGCTCCGGATACTCTTATCCTTCACTGAGTTTATTGGGAAGGATAGCAAGCACATAACATAACAGAACGTACACGCACACACCCACTTCCCTATCATATAACGCCCACCGTTTTCGTTTTTTTCATCATTCCCTTTGCTTACGTGCCATCACACATCCACCACTAAAATACCATTTTGCCTCTATATGCATATTGATACAAATTTTATTTCTATGTCTGATTATTTGTATTTTTATTTTTATACTTGCTTCTTAAAACTATACGCTAAAATTAGAACGAACAAAACGTTTTGTTATTTGATCCAATGTTCACGAAACATATTCCTTCATTTTTTCCTTAAATTGTTTTCATGGGTATGCCTTGCAACTTTCCTCTTCATGAAGGAAGTCGAATCACACTGCTTTTTTTTCTCTACAATGGGTGAAAAAATTTTAAAATAGAAAAACGATGCTACCAAGAATTACATGATATAGTGTTGAATGTATTTTAATAAAAAAAAATTTCGTTTTAATTATCCCATAAAAAAATAATTATCTATTTTAGATATTTTAATCTGTCGGCTCTACTATATTTATCCAAATATATATAAGGAATCAATAATCAACGTTGCTGTGCTAGGTGAGAGCATTCTCCGATATTCTTGCTACAAATACCATTCTTCTCCATTATCCAAATAAACATTTCCGTATCGCTAGGTGAAGTCTTTGTCTAATGTTTGACTTCCGAAATAATTATTTTGTTTTTGAAATACTTACTTGCATGGTGACATGTGACAGTACATGGGTTCTCATAAAATTATATTGGTACAAAAATCTTGTACAAAAATTTATAAAATAAAGAGCTCATAAAACGAAAGCAAGAGGAAATACGTGACAAAATGATTCATGAATAGAAATAGAGGAAAAAATAATAATATATATGATTTTTTATGTAGTCGTAAGTGGTTTATGAATTAAATAAATTTTATCTTAGTGTATTGAAGTGCTTTAAACATGTATAATGAGTTGGGGAGACATACATGCGCAGTAGGAATAACCTAAAATATTAATGAACCTAAACCTTTATTGATCACTGTTCAGAAGAATTGATTTAATTTGAGCGAAACTACTTTATTGACCTTTAAAAAACCTAATTTAAATGATTTTGGTCAAAAATAGGCTTTAACGTCCATCAGTTTATGATGAATGTCTCAAATCAATTTTAAAGATATTGCAATAACTTTAAATGATTAATTAAGAATGTCTTTTATATATTTAAATTTTATTAATCACTAAATAATATATAATTTAAGTGTCTTGTTCTATATTAAAATTTTCTCCAATAACTCGTTTGTCCTCAAATAAGGAAGTGTTATAATAACTCGTTCATCTTATTATGGAACATGTTAGTTTTAATAAAAACACGAATTCAAAATTATGTTCAATAGAAAAGAAGAAAAAAAAAACTAAACATAACATAAAACAATCATGTTTATAATCACTCAAAAAATCTCTAATCCCTTTATTGAACTTAACCTATACCTAGAGTTTTCTCTAACTTTTATTTATAGATGTAAAGGTTACAGATCTCTCTCTTAGATATGCACTTTAGCCCATCAAATTCTTACTCAAGAGTGTTGAAGATTTTGTAAATGTCACCATCTATAAACTATAGGATTTCACAACATTCGAACAAGTATTTCGTTAACAATCACGTGAAGAGCTACCAAAAAAATTATCTAAGTATTTGGAAAGATTATTTAATATAAAATAAAAATTAAAGATTATTTTTGTTATCATTATTATTACTATATAATATCTTTAATTATTGTTATTATTTTAATTATTATTTTATTAATATTGTGTTTGATAAAAAATAAAGAATTAGAGAAAAAAGAAGTGACAATAAATAAGAAATAAAGTAGAAAGTAAGGTTGTTTGATAGAAGGAAAGTAGAAATGAAGTGAAAAAAAGATAAATTATTTGATTATTTTATATTAGACTAAATATATGAAAAAAAAATCAAAATTTAATGTTATCAATTAAATTACACAATTATCTTTTATATATTATTATCAACTAACTTTAATATAAGGGTAAAAAGGTAAAACACACACAACTTCCCCTCTAATGCTCTCATTCTTAGCTAGGAGGTATGTATAAAAAATAGTCTCACCACATCTTTTCCTCACTCCCACTCAAATCTTTACACTAAAAATTTCAACTTCCATCTCTTCTTTCCTTTTCCTTTCAACTTCCATTACACCAAGAATTGGAGTGGGGAAGGAGTGAGTAATAAATTAATGATTAGAGAGGAGTAACTTATGAAAGAGAAAAAGTACCAACATAATTAATTATCTTTAATAATTAATTGTTATATTTATGGTTTAATTTCTTCACAATGTACTTATTTTATGTGAAAGTTTTTTTTATGGCTCTCATGACATTTTTCACATTTCATTGTAACTTTTATTTTACCAAATTGTAGATTAATCCCCTTCAATTTCGCTGTTATCAAACAACAACATTAAAATATATCAAAAAAAATTGTTAAAATACATACTATTCTTTAAAACATAATATCACAAATAAATAAATTTAAAGTATTTTTTTTTCCTTCGGGCAACTGAATAAACGTTAAAAATATTTTAAATAAAAATATAAATGTTGTATTTCAACTATGTTTATTTAATACAATTTTACATTTCAATACAATTTTACATTTCATTAATCCCGTACGTATTGGGTGTAAATTAATACTGAACATTCGAAATGATCATATTTTATATTATTGTTAAACATTAAGCATGAAATAAATGTTATTAATATTATTTTTATAACTATTATATAAAAAGTATAATTTTTCCTTATCAAATAGAGTTTTTTTATATAAAAACAAAGTAATAATATTTTTTTTATTAAAAAATACAAATATCAAACTAATTGTGTTAATAATTTTTGTACTTAGTATTAATTATTAAGTACTAAGATACCAATATTATTGATCCAAATTTGAAATCCTACACATATCCAGGCATTAACCCGTTTGGTTGCAAAATGCCAATACTCCTGAAAGTCCTTTCTAGTTTTTTTGCAATAACGAAGGAAAAAAAAATATACAATCAAGCACCGCCAAAACTTGTAATAAATAAATAATGACACTCCACTAAGGTGTGTCTGTGCATGTTGCTTGTAATACGCATCGGTTGAGTCAGCATATGTGAACTTCACTTTGAGTAATTTTAATAGAAAGTTTAATAAAACAATAAAATTTTCAAAGGAACACAAATGTAAAAGGTTACATTTTCTTTTTACTTTCAACCGAGCATACTTTTTAGAATATGATCACATTGTTTGAAAATAACTAAACATGAATATTTAAATAAAAAAAAGAATTACACCAAATTTAGCTTAACCCGGGTTGGAAAAATTCAAATGAATGATGTTCCAAACAATGTTCTTTAAGATGAATAATTGAATATGGTGGTGACCCCATGGAGGTAGGTATGAGATAAACAGAATGAAACCTAAATGACAAGTGGCCTTTTTTTTTCTCTCCATCTTTAAAATCGAAAGTAGGTGTCCTAATTTCGGGCACCAAATTTTGTTTAAACATTTTGGCTTCCGAAGAGGCTTGTTTGGCCATAGATGGCCAACATTGAAGGACAACATAGAAGAATAGTGTAGTAAATTGTCCTCCCTTGCGCCCCCAGCCATTATGATGAGGGTCAGATTTTGAAACTAAATATTGAATATTGTCAGTGACATTTCATTAAACAAGTTGCCCCTGTTGAATATGGTGTGGCAAATTTAGTCCCACATCGA